CCCCAAATTTAATTTTTACCCCAAATTCTATCATAAAATTTAATTTTACCCCCAAATTTAATTCTACCCCCCAAATTTAATTTTTTACCCCAAATTCTATCATAAAATTTAATTTTGCCTCCAAATTTAATTCTATCATAAAATTTAATTTTACACCCAAATTTAATTTTACCCCAAATTTAATTTTACCCCAAATTTAATTTTACCCCCAAATTCTATCGCAAAATTTAATTTTACCCCCAAATTCTATCGCAAAATTTAATTTTACCCCCAAATTTAATTCTACCCCCAAATTTAATTTTACCCCCAAATTCTATCGCAAAATTTAATTTTACCCCCAAATTTAATTCTACCCCCGCAATTTAATTCTATCGCAAAATTTAATTTTACCTAAAAATTTAATTCTACCCCCAAATTTAATTCTACCCCCAAATTTAATTCTATCGCAAAATTTAATTTTACCCCCAAATTTAATTCTACCCCCCAAATTTAATTCTATCGCAAAATTTAATTTTACCTAAAAATTTAATTCTACCATCAAATTCAATTCTACCCCAAAATTTAATTTTACCCCTAAATTTAATTCTACCCCCACTTAATAGCTTTAAAAACTCTTTCCTGTGTGGTCCCCTCAATGAACTATGGCTAACAATTTTCATACACGTTTTACTACTGCATTTCGTTTGATCGTGTCTGAGCGCTTTAATATTTTGGCCTTGTGTCAGACTAAGCCAAACAAATGGTTATATTTCTTCCTTCACCCATTAATTTACTTTTTCGTTTGTCCCTGTATGATTCACACTCATTCTTCCTGTTCTCATTCTTGTTCTATGTGCTGCTGTTCCTCAGGATGTGGGCGATCATGTTTCTCCACTACTTCTTTTTTGTAACTCTGTCCTTTTGTTCTCTATCCTAATCCCTGTTTTGCCAATCAATTACACAATCTCGTTAGGTTGACTACTCGCTGTTTCCCTCTGTGACTTTTGCTTTCAATATGACATGTTAGTGTCAAATTCGCCAAACCCACTTTCCTCACTATGAGCCCTCAAATATTGTTCTTATTGTTCTGATTTAAATTATAAGTGTCCTATTTTTTTCCATTATTCTTAAAACTTCATCGTTGCTTGCATGCACCGTCTATGGTATTCTTAAGATCCTTCTATAGAACCATGTCTTTTCGTCATCTGCGAGGAACTTTTCCAAGAATTTTACCTCATCATCTATCCTACAACTTTGAACATTCTCTTTCAGATGCTAAGTATATGCGTTCTTATTCTTTCCATTTTACTTAAAACTTATTCATTGTTCACATATTGAATCTATGGTATTCTCAGCATCCTTCTGTAGAACCATATTTTCGTTGCCGTAAATTTCTTCTTCCTCTGTGCAGAGATAGTTCATCATTCAGTCATAGAGAAGACAGTTAAGCCCTCTTTTATTTTGTTTCTAACGAGATTTTCCTGTTTCTTAATACTTTGCTGAGCTTTTGGAAGGCATCTTTCACTATTCCAATGCGCCTTTGAACATCGGTTACTCATTTTCCGCCATCTGTTAAAACACTTCCTAGATATTTAAATTTTTCTACTTGTTTGATTCTGACATCTCCAGTTTGTAATTCGCATTTTGGGATGTCCCTTTTGCTGGCAACGATGCATTCTGTAGGAATTCCGGTATTTTCCTATCTGTGTTTGCTATCAACACACTGTCATCGGTATATCTGTATATTAAATGGTGTTACGATTGTGGCCGTCAATAATTGTCTTCTTTGTTTCCATTTTCTCTAAAACTTTTTCGTTGCTCACATGTTCAGTCCATGGTATTCTCAGCATCCTTCTGTAGAACCACATTTACGTTGTCCTAAATTTCTTCTTCATTTGTGCAGAGACCAGTCTTATGCAAGGACCGACATTACATAAGAGTTAAGCACTCTTTTAGTTTATTCCTAACGAGATTTTCCTGTTTTCTTAATACTTTGCTGAGATATTTGTTTTCTTTTGACATCTCTAGTTTGTAATTTGCATGTTGGGCTGTCTCTTTTGCTGACAACCATACATTCTATCTTCTTACAATTAATGCTTAGTCCTTTATTCCCGCTTTCAATTACTACCTTTTTTTTCTTTTTTTTTTCCAGTAAGGTTCACTCTATAGAAGGCCCAAGAACCACTCGAGGTAGAGGGTTACTATTAAAGGGTATTTAATACGGATGGGAAGGGAAGATAACGGTTACCTCTAGACCTGAACAGGTTATGGTTGTATTAATAGGGGAAACATCTTATTGGGAGTCTTTTCTACAGTGGTTCACTAGAAGAAGCTGTTCGAGTAGAATTTACTTCTCACCGATCGAATACGAAGGGAATGTGGGCGGTTTGCATCTATGGAAGTGTCATGGTGGGTCCTAGCCGTAAAGGCTAGACCAAGCGGAACCAAGGAATGTAGTTCGTCTGAGCACTTTCCATGAGAGTTCCTCTAGTTTAATTTCTGTACCTGCTATCAACATTCTATCATGCACATACCCTATATTGTTAAGATTGTGTCAGTCAATGTGGAATTCGGCTAGGACTTCTAAATCTCCCGGGAACGTTTTACGGCAAAGGTTGAATTAATCCGTTGTGAAGAGACACCCTTATCTCACGGCCCTTTCCTATTTTGGTGTATTTATTGAATTTATTTTATTTATTTATTTTATGTATTTATTGAATTTATTTTATTTTATTTATTATTCTTATTTATTATTTATTTTTCTTATTTCTTATTTTTTTATATATTATATTATATTATATTTTTTTAAGCGTTTCACCCCAATCAAGGCGGGAGTGCCATTAGCACGCAAGAGATTACAGAGAATAGGAGCAAGTGTAAAGAGGCGTGAAAGAGGAAAGGATAGAAAGAAGGACGGGGAATAGATCAAGGCATCTGAAGATGTCGATTGACATTGCATTTGAATAGTAGGAGATTATAGCTATCAGGGAAGCAAATAAGAGGAAGGGTGTTCTACACACGGAAATTGAGAGACATGAAGCTATTGGAGTAGAAGAGACGGCTACATTTAGCATACATATTATATTACTATTTATCTATTTATTATTTATTTATTTATTTATTATTATTATTTATTTTATTTATTGAATTTATTTCTCATGCCTGCGTGCACGCTGTACGTTTCCAGGTATCAGTTCTCGTAGTGAAATATTTTCAGTCCTCGTTTTTATCTCACGCTTTCATTAACTCCTTCACTCGCTCTTTGAAAGCTTGAGGATACCAGGTGATGTTAGCTTGGATGTGCGGACGGTGTAATGAATAATGACTCGGAATTGTTAATCGGAGGGCCGAGATCAAATTCCTGTTGCGTTCGTAATATTCACTTACGCAGAAATAACCTTGGGAAAGGCATGAATCCACCTATTTTCCCATCAGTTATGGAATAATTAATAAGATTTGTATCACTAAATCATTATTATGCCCCAACCAAATTCTTACAATCTAAAATTACTTTCTGGCTTTAAATAACCTGCAAAGGGGTGATAATCCGTAGAAAATGAATGAATGAATCAATCAATCAAATACTGATTAACTACATAGGCATGTTTTTTAGATTTATTTACTAAATTATAAAAGTATAGAAACTCCCGTGGCCACAAAATGAGGGATCAGTTTATATATTGATCGTAATATAGAATTGATCTTCCCCCTTTTTTTATCTACATTATAATTTCTTGTTTGTTTATCAAATTTTGATTAGATATGAATCCATCTCTTTCTCCTCCAGTTATGGGTTAATTAGTAAGACTAATATCACTAAATTATTATTATTAACTAAAAAAAAATCTTATAATGTAGAATTATTTTCTGGCTTTAAATAACCTGCGTAGAGCTGATAATCCGTAGAAAATGAATGAATGGATCAATCAAATACTGATTAGCTACACAGGCATATGTTTTAGATTTATTTACATTCTCTGGAAGATTAATGTATACAAATTACCTTAGCCGAAAATTAGGGATCATTTTATGTATTGATTGTAATATAGAATTGATCCCCCTTTTCATATCTACATTATAATTTCTTGTTTGTTTATCAAATTTTGATTAGATAAGAATCCACTTTTCCCCTCCAGCTATGGGTTAATTAGTAAGACTAATATCACCAAATTATTATTATCTGAAAAAAAAAATCGTATAACGTAAAATTAAATAACCTGCATAGGGTTGATAAGCCGTAGAAAATGAATAAACCAACGAACAATTCACTCACTTTTTCATTCTCTTGTCAATGTAAACTCTAAATCCTTCATTTGGTAATTTTAGTTTTTATTTGTTCCTTCCTTGGAATTCTTGCTTCACTGTTGGTACCATTCTGTTGGTACCATTCAGAATTAAATCTACGAATATATCTCTTGTTGTTGCTTATTCTTCACTGAGATATTTGAATATCAGGTGTTGAACAGCCTCTTTTCATAAATTTAACTTTCTTATGGAAAGACAACTGTGAAAACTTCAGCTGTTGAAGTTCACTTTTCGTAGAACTTATTTCTTGGGGATTCAAGGAGGCAATGATTAAATTATTAAAATTTTCTATACAATAAAAGAACCGAAAAAACAAGGAATTAAATAGAATAGCTGGAAGCGTGATAGTCATCTACAGTTTATCACATTCAACGCTGGGTTAAAAATAAACACTACCTTACACTCAGACGACAGTGCTCTCTCTAACCAGCGTTCAGTGGCTTTCCTCGGGCATGTACGCATGCGCACAACAGCCAAACACTGCTTTACTTGAACTGTGAAGCAGACACTTCCATGAACGGATTTTTATAATTTTTCATAGACAAGGGGATGGTGACTAACATTAAGCTTAAGGATTATGTAATGTACGAATATAAAGAAAAAATTAAAGAAAAAAAAACGACTCATATTGAAAGTTATCAATAATATCGAGTAAAAATAGTGGGGGGTGCTGCAGATCCGTAATGCCTATACACGAGCTGTTACTGTTTTCACAGCATATCACACTTCTGTTTTAATTATTCATTTATTACTTTGTTGCTTTATTTCTCTCACTTTCTTTATTCATATTTTTTTCTTCTTTTCTTCTTTTCATTCTTATTCGCTATGCCAGCGCTGTAGTGTCAGGCGGAACCTAAGAGCAATGGCCTACAAGCGATTATCAATATTTTCGACTTCTCTTTGAGAATAAAGCCTAGTCCTGTTTCTAAACGACTTCCAAATAGGGTAATCGACCGCGTTTTGTGGTCAGGCGAATGTCTTGGAACAGTTCGTTACTTGATTTAGTGGATTTCAATACGGAACAATGATCCGAGACACCCCAATGAAATGACCAATGTTCCCTGAGGGGTGAAGTCTCCACCCTCTCAGCGTCTTCTTTTCATCCAAAATAAAGTAGATTGGATTAACTTGTCGAGCAAATTCGAAAATAAACCAATAAAAGGCATTGTATCTTTTTCTGTATGACTGATTACAAGTTTATGGACGCCAAGGGCATAAAAATGTTTATGCTAGAAACTTGAAACATTTATAATAAGAAAGCCTTGCACAATGTTTTTTTTAACAATATCAAAAATTTAAATATTTTGTCGTGTCCCTTCAAGACGTTGGCGATCATGGCTCTCCACATTTTTCTAACCATTGTAGCTATTGAAAATATTCTCTTTTTGTTATCTCTCCTAAACCCTGTTCTGTCATCCATTTACTCAAACTCCCTATGTAAAATATACGATGTTTTCCTTTGAAATACTTGCCTTCAAACAGTCCTGTGAGGATCAAATTTTCCAAGCCACCTTTCCTCATTATATACTCTATAAACAGTTTCTTTCTGATATTAATCATGTGTTGATTTTGTTTCCTTTTTCTTTAAAACTTCCTCGTTGCTCACATGTTGGGTCCATGGTATTCTCAGTATCCTTCTGTAGAACCACCTTTCTGTTGCTTCAAGTCTCTTCTTGATCTGTGAGGAGATTGTGTTTAACATTCACTGCCAATATACGAGGACTGATATTGCGTAAGAGTTTAGTACTTTTTTTTCTGTTTCTAATCAAATCTTTTTTCTTGATACTTTGCTTAGATTTTGGAAGACAATCAGTTTCAAAGGGGTTAATACCTTAACTACTGCCAGAAATTGTGGAGAGCCATGATTACCTGCGTTCTGAATTTACATTGTATTTACAAATATATTATTCCTCGTGGTAAGCGCCGTTTTCATATCTGACAATCGGAAAAATAGCAACAAGCTTCGCCCCAGTCCTGAAAATGTCTACAATTCCCGGCGGTTAGCCCAATGCGGCGTGCGTTTACTGTCAACGGACCGTGAAATTAACCGTGTGTCACCCGACAGAAATATTTTTGGGGGTCGAAGGGAACATCGTGCATTTGGTGCAGGATTTCTTCTGATCTTTTTCAGGTGTGTGTGTGGGAGGACGAGGTGGCACTTTGGAAAGAGGAGAAATATGGTTACGGTCTATAAAAGCAGCATAAAACACTTCATTTAGTGTCATGTATATGCATGCTGCCTATACATACATACATACATATATATATATATATATATATATGTGTGTGTGTGTGTGTGTGTGTGGGTGTGTGTGTGTAATCGGAATCACCCTATGCAAGGCAATAAAGCTACTAAGACACAAGAGGTTACAGGGTGTGGAAGAATTACGAACAGAATCATTAATAATGAGTAGAAAGAGAAAAGAGTAATCAGGAGGACAGTAGATAGCAATTGACATTGCATTGAAATTTTTGCAGATTAAAGTTGGTTTGAAAGCATGGAGCCGGAAGGGAGTTCCACAAGCGAAAAGTGCGAGAAAAGAAACTATTGGCATAGAATTTAAGGCTACATCTAGCCAGCTCAATTGTAACTCGATGAGATCTCGATGCCAGTCGAGTACTGCGCTTAAATTAATGTCTAGGTAACATAGATAGATAGATAGATAGATAGATAGATAGATAGATATGAACAATCCGAGATAGATTATGAGCAGATAGATAGATAGATAGATAGATAGATAGATAGATAGATCTTTGTATCTTAATACTATCATCATAATTGACTGAATCATCATTCTCCTTATTTTCGTTATTATAATTTTTTATTCGTTATCACACCATGCAAGGCAATAAAGCCACTGAGACACAAGGATTTATAGAGTATGGAAGAATTAGGAACAGAAACATTAATATTGAACGGGAAGAGAAAAGAGTAATCAGGAGGACAGTAGATAGTGATTGACATTGTTTTGAAATGTTTGCAGATTAAAGTTGGCTGGAATGCATGGAGCTGAAAGTGAGTTTCACAAGCGAGAAGTGCGAGAAAAGAAACAGTTAGCATAGAACTTACGGTTACATCTAACCAGCTCAACTCTGAATTGATGAAATCTCGACACCAGTCTAGTAGTGCACTTAAATTTATAAAGTCTAGGTACCATAGCGAAAAGCTCATCCGAAGAATTACCATGAAAATATTTATAGAAAATGCATAGAGCGGAAGCCCTATGGCGGTGGGGAAGCGATTGAAGCCGAGCTGCCAAATCAGGACCAATAATATTGCTGATTCTTCTTTGAGGTTTATCAAAGAGCTCAAGGTAAATGGTTATAGAAAAAGACAGAAATATGTGGTTACATATGAATAAACACATTTACAAAAAATATTACATTGTGATTGTATCTACCATTATAATCTATCTATCTATCTATCTATCTATCTATCTATCTATCTCAGCCTGCTCATAATCTATCTATCTATCTATCTATCTATCTATCTATCTCGGATTGTTCATATCTATCTATCTCAGCCTGCTCATAATCGATCTAACTCGGACTGTTCATATCTATCTATCTATCTATCTATCTATCTATCTATCTATCTATCTATCTATCTATCTATCTATCTGCGTAAGTGTGTGTGTTTGTTTATATATCTAAATCTGGAGTTAGATTCCCGTTTTCTTTCATCTTTCGTACATGAAAGTGGCGACAATGTATCCAAACCCATTCGTCTTCCGTGGCATTTTGCAGACATTATAATCCATTTCACCACGTGTAACACACACACACACACACACACAAAAGTAAAAGATCTACACCGCAGCGAATGATTCGTCATCCAGTGATTGGGCGCCGTGAAGCCAATCCATTCCTGTTGATTCGCTTGGTTTATTAGTGGGAAGTTCAAGAGTTGCCGAGGAGTTTTGTTCAATTTGGTAGCGGGGAAGACGACGGCAAACTTCTATCGACGCCATATTGGCGATACAAAATGACCATTAGCTTTTTTGATCTTATTCGTTCGCTAATTTGTCGCCGGCGATTCTGTTTTTTCGCGTTTCTTCGCCATTTGCTGGAGACCATCATCAACATTGAATAATAACGGTTAAGGAAGAAAAGAAAGGAAAACGAAGGAAAAAGAAGAAAAAGAAACAGATGTGAGTAGTTGTACGGGGGTATCGACGGAAAAAAGTTCGGAAAATAATAATAATAATAATAATAATAATAATACGATTAAAATACAGTGTAACCCGGATATAAGAGAGTTATCGGGACCGGAGAAGAAGTCTCTTATATCCGGGTTTCTCTTATATCCGGGTTTCTCTTATATCCGGGTTTGGTCTATTATATATACATTAACACAGGCTCTAATTTGGGACCAGAGAAAATCTCTCTTATATCCGGGTCTCTTATATCCGGGTCTCTTATATCCGGGTTACACTGTAGTGAGAAAACTTGCTGTCACTTGATATTGGGTTAAAGTTATTTATCCGAATATACAATATGCATGATATTAAGAAAATTGATATCAAAAGGAACAAAACTAATATGTGGAACAAATTACTGGAAGCCCTAAAATATGTCAAATTGCAAAAAAAAAAAAAAAAAAAAAATCATCGGCATGAAAACTTTTTACATCTTGCGCAGATTACTCTCCATGCAGTAACCACAAGAACATTTTATTATTTCATGGAACCTCATCTGTTTTGCATCTGTTGCGAAAATGTTGTTGCCTCTTGAAGCCTCTGGTTAAGAATTACGGGTAACTGGTATTACACAAAACAAAACACAAGAACAACAACAACAATAATAATAATAATAATAATAATAATAATAATAATAATAACAACAATATGGCAGTCCCTGCTGACTGCAATGTATCTTTGGAGATATTCAAACAGCTGTCAAAATACAAGGACCTTGAAATAGAAATCTCGAAAAAGTGGCATATGGGAACATCAACAATCCCTGTTGTAGTTGGAGCCCTAGGACTGGTTGGAAAAGATTGCAGTAGACTAATTGAAGGGATTCCTGGAAGTCCATGCCTCAAAGAAATACAAAAAATTGTTCTCACAAGTACAGCCCATACTTTACGAAGGGCTTTATCTATATAATTTTTTTTTTTTCAGTGGAAAGTGTAATGACGCCATTTCTAACCTTAGGTCTCTGGGCGGGACCCGGAAAGAAATGTGCAAACGCCAGAAATCAAAGAAAATAATAATAATATTAATAATAATAATAACCGGAAAATGTGACACACTTACGGGAAGAAAAATGCAAGAAATTGGTATGAACATCACCCAGATAGTTTGGACCTGTAAGAATTTTGCAATCCACACAGAACAATCAAAGTTAATCGTCCAGACATCGGGATCAGGGACCCACAAAAACAGAAAATACTTTCTTATTGACATGTAGGTCTCTTCAGATTGTAGTGGATCTTGAAGATTTAAAAAAAAAACTATCAAAATAAAAGGATCTTCAAGTGGAAATCTAAAAATATGGCTCATGAGGATATCAATAATTCCATTTGTTGTTGGAGTCCTCGGATTGATTAAAAAAGGTTCCGATTGACTCATTGAAAAGATTCCTGCTAGGTTATGTCTTAAAGAAATACAAAACAAATGTCCTCACAAGTACAATTCACATATTACGAAGAGCTTTATCGATGGAAAATGTGTTTGATCTTAGTTTGTTTGTTTTTTTTCTTTTATAAAAATGATCAGAGGAAAATATCATGAATCCATTTCTGATCTTTCGCATTGGTTTCCTTTCATTTCTGTTGTAGGACCAGAGACAGAAATGCGTAGACAACAGAAATAAAAGGAAATAGTAATAATAATAAT